TTGCCTTTCAAAACACCCAAAGGTCTTTATAGTTCATTATCCATTCACTTCACACTCAGTAGTGGCAAGCAACTACAGTATTGTAACCACAGATGCCTTGGGACAGACTGATGGGAGTGAGGTTGCCAATCTGCACCATCAGCCCCTCCGATTACCACCAGCACACACTCTCCACTTTCATACTAGGTAATGTAGGTGAAGTGTCTTGCCTAATGACACAACAACAGTTTTTCGCCACTGGAGCTCTACTGTGGAATCCTGGAATTCCCAGCAGTCTCCCATCCAAGTACTAACTGGGCCCGGCCCTGTTGAGCTTCAGAGATCTGACGAGATCAGGCTTTGACGAGCTGCGTAATAAGGTAAGATAAGATCCTCAGAGCTGCCGTGCCAGTCTGTTATAGTGGGTCTGGCTCATTTAGCAGAAAGATAATACAGATAATGCTGTTCTGAAGGATCTTAATTATATCTATTGACCGGATTTGTATACAATATTCAGACAAACTAGGACACATAGGCAGTGAAAGGAGCGACGGGGGCATTTCTGTGGGGCTTTGAACACTTGAAATGTATATTAAAGGGCGATTTCAATAGGAGACTACCAAAAAGGAGATAACTGATTAATTCGTTTTTTTTCTATGGATACAGTTGGGCCCAGTCAAGCAGAAGTAAACAGCAAGGCCAAAAATTCAAGTTAATGCATCTGATATAAAAATGTATTGAACAGATACATATGTACTCTAGTTTATGAAACTGTTTACCCTTTTTCTGTACCATTTTTGGTTCTAAAGATACATACGTTTTAAACAGACCATGTATGAAACATGGAACAAAAATTATTTCCCAAATTTCAAAGACCTGCAAATCATGTAAATAAATTGATGTATTTAATCATATCTTGTGTTATTTGATCTTTGAACTGTTGATAAAGGTACATGATTTTTAAAAAAATTGAAAAAGTATTTAAAATGATAAAAATTTGCTTTGAAGGACTGACATATTTTACAGAAATAGTTTCCTTTCATTTTGAAGTAATATTAAAGTATTCGGAAGAAAAAAGCTGACAAATTATGCAAAATCATTCACCTTCTACTTGCTTGTACAATTTTCCCTCCGTTACTTTTCCCTCCGTTACCATGACCTTTCTTAATAAAAAATCTCATTACTCAAAAAGTAAGAGGTTTTTCAACCTAATCTTGTACCATATGGTAGAAAACTATATGAAGCAAATATTCAAACCAGTTTGTTAAGGATATGTAAGTGAGAACCAAGAGTTATCACTGTTTGTATTTATTGCCCAAAAAGTGCTGCATATTTCATTCCCTCCGTTACCGACATGAGTTTTTAAAATTTGTCAACAACTTGAAAGAATATCACAGGTTTAACTTTACCCTGTTGGAGTGTAACTCTTTCCTACATTCTGATACTTTACTTATTTCAATAGTCCCTTTCTGAATAAGAACTATTTGAATGTAAAAAATCTGCCCCTGTTTCCCTCCGTTACCACTTGACCGGATCCAGTTTCAAAGTATGACATTACATAGATCTATCTTACATGTGTTCAATTACAGGTGGTTTTATAGCTCGAAAACACATAGAAAAACAGGCATTCTGACTGTGAGTGGGGTCGCCTCTCCACAGATCTGATCAGGAACTTGGCCTGTTTTCATGGAGAAAAGCAAGTGGCTGACCCTCCACCAGAAAAGTTACACAATGCTCCTTTAAGAGACATTAATCTGTAAATCTTAGGCTGCTAATGAAGGCAGGCAGGAAATTAAGTAAACTATTTTAGGTGATTTGGGAAAAATGTTATTGCAATTTTTGAGATGAGAATTGAAATGACATTAGCTTTGTTCTTTCTGTTCAAAGTTCAAAATTTAAATGTGAATTGACAAAAATACTGAAATACTAATACAAAACTTTTACATATTTACACTACAGGATTAGCAGTTTTTAAGAGGAATAAATTCATCTTGCAGCTCTAGAAATAAGCATTAAATATATGTAAAAAGTGTGTTATTGTATTTCTTTATTGGTCAGAACTGTCACAGTAAACCCACAGTAAATAAAGTGAAGTCAACAATGTATTATAATGTCACAATACTGCAGTTTCGGGAAACATGTGGCACCTGTGTGGGAGCATAGGCAGTGTTTTTATTTTGTGAGCCATGAGGGTGATTGTGGTTTTGATCTATAGCGCTGCTGAGACAGAAAATAAAGAAGATTTGTATTTCCTTACGACACACTTCCCTCTGAGAATCTGTACAAAGCAACTCCCATAAATAAATGTAATTAATTATTAGTTTTTGCTTCTTTTTTTCTCTTTTTGTGTTCTAGGCTCCCTGGACTTTCCTTTGATTTTCTATTTGTCATTGATAATGTCTCAAAATACATTTACGAAAATAAAAACGTCTGAACTTTGAGCCGAAATTTCCTGTTCATACCAAAAAACGTTAACTGTGATTGGTCAGTTTACTCTGTTATTCTGTGTTTTGATTGGTTCAGGCAGATAAAGCCTTATGACACCATGTTAGTCTTCGAAATTGAGGATTTTTTACTCATAAAATCCTCAAAAATACACCAAATTCTATAAAACTTTAATAGAGTACAGTAGGCACCCAGGAACAAGAGTATATAAAGCACTAAACTTTGACAAAAACGTCACATAGAACCATCTCAGTATAATTCTAAGAGGTAAGATATCTCTTCTAACACCTAACAGCTCTTGAGATCAAATCCACCTCTTCTTGCTCGTCTCTTTCATTTCCATAACATTTATATTTTGTGTAAGATAAAGTAAAATATAATAACATCACAGCGAAGAACTATTGTGATCCAACACGCTACTGTAAGATATAACTTTAATCTACAGGCCTGTTAACAATAAAGTATCAAATATAATCTACACAGCGGTGTAGAAATAAACGTTTGCTTTTCATTCATGAGATCACTGTAGCTGAATGGGCTGAGAAGTGATGTGGAGCCTTGGAGGAGATGCTCAACTAACAATATAAAGTACGTAAAGAAAAGAAAGTTGTTTAAAGGTCCTATACTACACACAACGGATTCTTGGGAGCTTTAAACTAGATTATAATGTTGTTAACTCATCGAAAACAAACCTGGAGTTGTGTTTTGTTTCATTCACGCATGTTTGAATAATCCTTTAGTATTAGTCTGTCTACATCTCTAAAGCTCAAAATGCTCTGTTCCACTTTGTGATGTCATCTAGTGGTAGTTTCCAAGTTGACAGCTACCTTTTACCTTAAGTTCAGTAAAGATTGTCAATTCCACGGCTGAAAAAAATCCAAATTATTCTGGTGAAGGTGTGTGTATACACCAGTGTAGACAGACACTGGGGATGGGGTGGGTTAAGTGTCTTGCCCGAGGACACAACAACAGCATTCATTTGTGGAAGCTGGAATCGCACTGACAACCTGTGTACTTGTAAATCTGACAGTTCTACCAAATATTTATGTTGAGTGGGGGATTCTAACTAGCCCAATTCATCAGCCAGTTTCACTTTGTGGAAACCGTCTGACCTCGCAGCATTAGGATTCGTTTGCTCGACAGTAGGCGAGTACTTTTTTATTTAACTAATCACTGCTATTTGGTTGTGACGGATGTAATGTGCCGCTGATGGGGCTAACTGATATATAAAGCTTTTCCCAAATCCCACAGGAAAAAGGGCAATAACTTTCCCCTTGATAAAATTCACCAAATATTCTTTTTGTTCCAGCTTTAAATCCTCAATTTCAGGAATCGTTGCCATCACAGAATGTATGACTTCATCTACATCCATCTCGACCGCTTTGTTTACTGTTGTGCTGCACCACAAAAAGGGACCCAGACAGACGCTTGAGTTTGACGTCATGGCTTCACAGGTCTTCGCTGATTGGCCGGTGTTCGGTCTACAAATTCTTGACTTTTTGCAAACTGTCTAGTGCATTCCGATTCCTGACCTAGTCCCTGGAGAGAAATGAAATCGAGCGGAGGCACTAGGTGGCACCAGCCTGGCTAGATTCGAACCACCAAACTTAAGATGAGTGGACAAATACTGAGCTACAACTGAGCTATGTTGCCCTGTATTATCACCCCACAAGGTGATATCACAGAGTGGAACACAGTGTTTTCCTTTTGAGCTAAGAACTCAGCCTAAATACGCAGGGCTTGTGTGTTAAACATGTGAGAATGAAACAAAACACAACTCCAGGGATGTTTGAGATGAGGAAACAACTGTAAAAATAGTGTAATACTGCGTAAAACATATTTTATTCGGGATGACTGGAGGACGGCCATGCTCTGAAAAGACTGTTCAACATTACCCTAGGAGGCAGTGAACGACTAATAAATCACATTTCTTAGATTAGACCTGCTCACACACACACATGCACACTTTAATTAAACCCGTGTGAACAGGTTACAAATCTGGAGTCTCCTTTCTTATCACAAATTCACTGGCTAATTGCCCTGTCTGCTGCTCCCTTTATAAGAGAAAATGTGCAAACTACATCAGTAAGTGAGCTGGGAAATTAGAATGAATCACATCTACTTGTAATCTGGAGGTCAGGGGGCGCCTTTAAATATAGGCCACTAATGCGCTCGGAAAGAAATATTATTATCGTCAAGCAAAAATTTATCATCATAACCTCGTGCACCGTTCTGTTCCGGCAGCGAGCTTATCACAGAAGAAAGCGGATCTCTATTTGTTCTCGTAGATAGTGGAAATGCATTTGCACTTAAATGATCTGGGAGCAGAATGAAGATACAGACACTCGGTTACAAAAGCCAGTGATAAAGCCATGTTAATAAATCTATTCTCATAAAGGGTGGTTGCTAATGGAGCGGGGAGCGTCAGAGTGGCCTTGACGGCATTAGCTGATGAGGCGATTGAAAGAAAAGAAAAGGAGCTTAAAATGATTATTGTCATCTGTCTGGAGAAGGATCGACAGAGGTTAAAGAAGCACAGAAAGCAAAGAAGGGAGACAGATCACTGCAAGATTCACCTCTGGTTTCCATGGTAACTTTTTGTGGTGCAGGCTGAGGAACTTTCGGAGGTGTGTGCCGCTCCTGCCGTCTGCGCCTCTGATTGGCTCATCATCCTGGAAAAGATTCACAAAAGAAAACTAGTTTCAGTGCATATAGTAGCAATAAGGTAGTTTTTTTGGTAAATTGTCACATTTTTCTAAGCGTTTTTCCATCTTCAAAGTGTTTCTTTTTTTTCCCCCCAACTTTGTTTAGTGAACATTTTTAACATTACCAGAGAAACAGAGTGGAAACAGTATATTATATTGGCTAAAAGTATGTGTTTATTTGTTTATTCATTTCATTCATAAAGTATAAAAAGACATTAACAGTGTCACAACATCAAACATACAACGAATGAATGAAAAGGAGCAGAAAGAAGTGTAATCTTATGCTATCTGAACACTTTTCCCTTTTCCAGACAAAACATTAACACCGATAGTCACTTTAAAACATTTCAAATCAGTACATTTCAGTTCAGTCACAATCAATCACATCAATTGCAAACAGAAATCTTCACTATTATGCACAACCACTTAGTTTCCTTTTTCATACAAACACACTGCGCTGGATTTTGTGTAAGTTTTTAAATGCCATCGTTGTACTTGATTCTTTTATATCTTTGTCAAGACTCTTCCATAAATTAACTCCTTTCACAGTGATGCTTTCATGGCAGAGCTGGGATCAAGTCGTTGTTTTGCAGGTCTCAAGTAAGTCTCAAGTCTCTCAGCTCAAGTCTGAGTCAAGTCCCAACTCAAATACAGGCAAGTCCAATTCGAGTCTCGAGTCACTGGCCCGTAAGTCCAAGTCAAGTCCAAGTCGTCTGCTTTGAGCTTCAAGTCATTTCAAGTCTTTAAACCAAAGTACCAAATATAGCTTCAATTTTTGCAATTTATATGACTTCGAAACAAAATTGTTCTTTAAAAAATCATAGTATATTTATATATGAGTATTTACAGAGTATATAAGAGTTGTAGAAATGTTTTTTTAATGTTTTGACAAGCTCTTAGTGTGAATCATTACTGTCAGAACAGAAAGAATTCAGATTTAAAAGTGCTTCTCAAGTCACAGGCCTCAAGTTTGATTCACTGACCTTCACTGACCTTCAGGTCCAAGTCGAGTCCCAAGTCTTAGTCCATTTTATCAAGTCAAGTGTCAAGTCCTAAAAATAGTGACTCAAGTCTGACTCGAGTCCAAGTCATGGTTGGCAAGTCCCCACCTCTGTTTCATAGTATTAAAAGTATTACAGTATTCACAAAGGACACGTCTGAATGTCAAAACCCGCCCCACCCACTGGCCCGAACATACGAAAATAAAAAATGTACATACAAATATATATCTATATCAACATGAAAAATAAATAAATAAATAAATAAATAAACAAATAATGAATAAAGAGAATGGAAAAAAAAAAAAAAAACTCAAAATACTTTTTACATCAGGGAACCACTCACCCATTCACACAGACATTCAAACATAAATATTGCCTCAAAATACTGTATATTATTTCATTTTCACATATTATCTGCTTCTACTTTAATAATCCAAGTGCTTTTTGGGTAAGTAGGCCACACCTTCTTTTTTTTTTTCAAATTACATTTTTATTGAAAACAAAGGAACATAATATATTGTACACAAACACACCTCTACTCTCCCTTTTCTCCTTTTTAGGCCATGTGTTCTTTTCATTATCTTCGACATCTTGACTCTGATACACAGAGTCGCCATTTTAACTTTACAGCTTCCGTTCTCTCCCACTCTGGCATTTGAAACACAAAATCAGTCCAGTATTGAGCAATAAGTCAATACAGTAATTATCGTGACCGGGCTATATGTGGCATGAAAATGATCCGTTTCTACTTCGATAACAAAGTACCAAATCCAAGTGAAATCAGTGCTTTTTGGGTAAGTAGGCTATGTCTTCTGTTTTTTCCATTACATTTTTATTGAAAACAAAGGAACATAATATACTGTACACAACACAACACATCTACAGTCTCCTTTCTCCTTTCTAAGCCATGTCTTCTTGATTAAGATGAGACACTGACCCGACTCAGCTTGTTTTTAATCACTGTAAACTACTTTGTGTTACATTTTGTATGAAAAGCGCTGTATAAATAAAGTTTGATTTGACTTTTAATTTACACCAGGGGTCTCCAACCTTTTTCCTCTGGTGAGCTACCTTCAGGAAAGAAAAATGCCAAAGAGCTACTCATTTTAGCGGTTGCAAGAAATTGAAAAAGTATAAAGGCTATGGCAAGCTTTAGACGGAGTACAGTTAAACCTATCAAACATAAACCATTACTCATTTATTAGCGCTCAAGTGAGGGATCAAAACGGCACATTTACGATGGAAATAAATCAGATTTTAGTTATTAAGCGCAATACATTTAATTCAGAAATCCTTTGGCGAGCTACTTAGAGTTACTTCGATAACAAAGTACCAAATCCAAGTGAAACCGATGCTTTTTGTGTAAGTAGCATTCTTTTTTTCATTATATTTTGGAAACACAGGAACATAATACACTATACACAAACACACCTCGTCTACAGTATCCTGTCTCCTTTATAGGCCATGTCTTTTTGATTAAAATGAGACAGTGATCTGATCTTCTTTTCACTATATTCAGCAACTTGATTCAGCTACACAAAGAGCAACCACTTTAACTTTACAGCTTCCACGCTCTTCTACTTTGGCATTTGAAACACAAAACCAGTCCAATGTTGAGCAATAAGTCAAAATATTAATTATCGTGACCAGCCATTATCTGCTTCTACTTCAATAACAAAGTACCAAATCCAAGTAGAACTGGTGCCTTTTGGGTAAATAGGCCATGTCTTTTTTTTTGTTCCATTACATTTTTATTGGAAACAAACATAATATAATATACTGTACACAAACACACCTCATCTACAGTCCTCTTTCTCATTTTTAGGCCATGTCTTCTTGATTAAGATGAGACAGTTATGTGGTCTTCTTTTCATTATCTTTGACATACTGACCAAGAGCCACCATTTTAACTTTACAGCTCCAATTTTCTTCTACTTTGGCATTTGAAACAGAAAATCAGTCCAGTTTTGAGCAATAAGTCAATATATTAATTATCGTAACCGGCCATTATTTGTTTTTACTTCAATAATAAAGCACCAAATCCACATGAAACCTTTGCTTTTTGTGTAAGTAGGATTCTGTTTTCCATTATTACCTCCGCCAAGGAGGTTATGTTTTTGCCGGCGTTTGTCTGTTTGTTTGTTTGTTTGTTTGTCTGTTAGCAACATGACTCAAAAAGTTATGGACCGATTTTGATGAAATTTTCAGGATTTGTTGGAAATGTGAAAAGGAAGAACTGATTTCATTTTGGGGGTGATCCGGAAGAAATCCTGGATTCTGGATCACTTTGAAATTTTAGTTAACATTGTGGTAAATGGGGCTAAAAATGTTGTTTCTCAATATCTCGGTTAATTATTGACCAAACCCCATGAAATTTGACTCAGGGATGGACAATGGGATCCTCTTTCATATTCCAAAGGCTGATCCAGATCTGATCCAGAAGACTGATTTTATCGCAATTTATATAAAAAATGGGGGTAGTCCTTGGCGGAGGTCTGCGCTCTCTGACTGCTTTTCTAGTATTTTTATTGGAAACAAAGGAACATAATATATTGTACACAAACACACCTCTCCTTTGTCTTTTTGATTAAGATGAGACAGTGATCTGATCTTCTTTTCACTATCTTCAGAAACTTGACTCACACAAAGAGCTAAAATGGTGGCTCTTGTGTATCGGAGTTTAGACGCTTAGACCTTCTGTTCTCTCCTACTTTGGCATTTGAGACACAAAACCAGTCCAGTATTGAACAATAAGTCAATATATTATTAAGTCAATATGTTCGATAACAAAGTACCAAATCCAAGTAGAACTGTTGTTTTTTTACATTTTTACTGGAAACAAAGGAACATAATATACTGTGCACAAACATACCTCGTCTACAGTTCTTTTTCTCCTTGTAGGCCATGTCTTCTTGATTAAAAATGAGACAGTGACCCAATATCCTTTTCACTATCTTCAGCATCTTGATTCAGCTACACAAAGAGTGACCATTTTAACTTTACACCTTCCACACTCTTCTACTTTGGCATTTGAAACATAAAACCAGTCCAGTATTGAGCAATAAGTCAATATATTAATTATTGTGACCGGTCTACATATTTCATGAACATTATCTGTTTCTACTTCGATAACAAAGCACCAAATCCAAGTAGAAATGGTGCTTTTGGGGTGAGTAGGCCCCATCTTCTTTTTTTCCCATTACATTTCTATTGGAAAAAAAAGAACATAATATACTGTACACAACACACCTCATCTACAGTCTCCTTTCTCTTTTGTAGGTCATGTCTTCTTCGGTTAAGATGAGACACTGACCCAGTCTTCATTTCACTATCTTCAGCATCTTGACTCAGCTACACAAAGAGTGACCATTTTAACTTTACACCTTCCTTCTCTCCTACTTTGGTATTTGAAACACAAAACTAGTCCAATACTGAGCCAACATATTGAGCCAAAATATTAATTATCATGACTGGTCTATATACGGCATGAACATTATGTTTACTTCAATAACAAAGTACTAAATCCAAGCAGAACTGGTGTTTTTTTTTTACATTTTTATTGGAAACAAAGGAACATAAGAAACTGTACGCAAACACACCTCATCTACAGTCTCCTTTCTCTTTTGTAGGTCATATCTTTTTGGTTAAGATGAGACAGTGATCTGATCTTCTTTTCACTATCATCAGCATCTTGACTCAGCTACACAAAGAGTGACCATTTTAACTTTAGACCTTCCTTCTCTCCTACTCTGGCATTTGAAACACAAAACTAGTCCAATACTGAGCCAATATATTAATTATCGTGACCGGCCTAAATATGGCATGAACATTATCTGTTTCTACTTTAATAACAAAGTACCAAATCCAAGTGAAACTGGTGCTTTTTACATTTTTTATTGGAATTAAAGGAACATAATACTGTACACAAACACACCTCGTCTACAGTCTCCTTTCTCTTTTGTAGGT